TACTACTTGATGAGGTTGGAATATGATGGAATCCGCTGAAGAAAGCAATAGAGGCTTGAGATGATGGAATCCATTGAAGTAAAACATAGGTGGTGTGCCCACAAAGTGTGCCCACAACATGAGAGATTAGAAAGGAAATTTTATTAGATAGTGGTGAGACCTGCAATGTTGTATGGCGTTGAATGTTGTCCTTTAAAAGAGAAGCATAAAACTAAGTTAAGTGTTGCTGAGATGAGAATGATTAGGTGGATGAGTGGCTTTACACATAGAGACAAAATGCGAAAAGATTATATCCATGATAGGGTTGGTGTAGCTCCAGTGATGGACAAAATTAGAGAATACCGTCTTAGATGGTTTGGTTACATTAAACGTCGACTATCTGGTGATCCAATTAGGAGAGATGTTTTAGATTCGACTTATGTTAAGAGAGTAAGATGTAGACCTAAGAAGACTCGGGCTTATTGTATAAAAAATGATCTTAATTTATTAGAACTAAATAAAAAGCAATGGAGAAAAAGGATTCATGTATTCGACCCCACATAGTAGGATTAAGGTTTTGTTGTTGTTGTTGTTGTTGTATATTATTTTTTTAATAAATTTTCACTATTATGTGTCAATATTACACTTTTACTCTTACTTACTGTAGAGTAATCAAGATGTGAAGAAATTTTGTTATAATGAAATAATGCTTAGTTGGAAGAGAAATTATAAATAATATTTGGTCGTATAGAGAAACTTGGGAGGATGTTTGGTTGCCAATTAGAAACTTAGTATGCTAACTCCTGAACTACGAGATGAGACATAGGTTTATCAGTTGCAAAGGAAATTCATGAGCATGATCCTAATATTGCGAATGCTTTTGAGCTTCAAAGTTTGAGTTCAATTGATGCACAATAATCAAATAAGAGAAAATATAAAAAATAAAAGTTGAGAGGTAGAAATTTTCTTAAAAATCAAATTGAGGCATCAGTTCATGCTTCCACATTTATTAGTGAAGCTATATCTACTTGAATGCTTCAAGAATCTTTATTACAATATGTGATATAGTGGATGAGTTAGTTAATATATCAGATATAACTAACGATATTGAGTTTTACGACTTTCCTCTATAGCTCTTGAAGAATAAAAATGAAGGAGAGTTTTCATTCACATTCACAGCGATGAAAAATATGATGGCTCAAAAGAAAATACTACAAGGGTTTATCTTAATACAACATTACAATGTTTTATTTGTTTATTACACTCTATGTAACAAAAAGCATATCATGTTTGTGTGCATCATGAAAGCATGATCTTTTTATAAAGATGCATGAAAAAAAGTTGTAAAATCACATAGGATCACATTCATAGTCGTGCAAAGGGTATATGATCACATATGTGTATCATGAAACTTGCAGGAACACATGTATATAAAAAATCCATAAGGCAAATATTTCATGTTAACATATGGTAGGTATTGTGTTGGTCACCTATGGCCAACCATGTAACATGAACAAATCCTATGCTCATATCATCAATCACATCCCTACATACTAAACATACAAAATACAAGTTGTCATAAGAACAAAAGGAACACCAAAATATGGCATCAATACATAATGAGAATGCCAAACTATAAAGTGTGTAATAAGCAAATAAGTCATTATAATATTGAATTAAGATAAACTATTGCAGTATTTTTTTTTCCGATTCATCCTACTTTTTCAATCTTGAGAATGTGCATGAAAATCTCTTTCATTTTTATCATTCATGAGCTATAGAGCGAAGTCGAAAAACTTGATAACGTTAGTTTTATATTATATATTAGCTAACTCCTCCAGCGCATCACATATTATAACAAACTTCTTTGAAGCATTTAGCATAGATATAGCTTCACTACTAGATGTGAAAGCATAAACTAATGCCTCAATTTAATTTTGAAGAAATTTCTACCGCTCAAGTTCTTTTTTTATATATTTTCTTTAATTTGACAATCGTGTAACAGTTAAACTCAAACTTTAAAATCCATGAGCTTTCACCCTCATGAATTTCCTCTACAGGTGATGAGTCAATTGCAGTCTATCGTAGTTCATGAGGTAGCATGCCCAAGCTTGGCAGCCAAACATCCACCCCAAGTTGCTACCATACGGGCAAACATTATGTATAATTTCTCTTCCAACTTGGTCATTATTCCATTATAACAAAATTTATACTCAACAGGATTAACCTACAAATAGTACAAATAAAAGTGTAATACTCACACCAAATAGTGAAAATAATATATGAAGCAAATAAAAAAATATACTTGTATTTTTTTCATTCCACCATTCAATCAAAGCTTCTATTGTTCTCTTCAATGGATTCCATAATATTCCAGTCTAAACAATTTCAAGTCTTGAGCACTTTTGAAGGGTAAAGACATCAAATGAGAAGTGCAATTACGGGAGACAGATTATGAGCTCTTGGTTAAGTTTTCTTTGGCACCCACATTTTTTATGAATTTACATATCTGACAATGACATCGAAGCCTTATTTTTTACATTAAATCTTTTATATCACATTGAAAATATTATTATTTTAAATTAAAAAAAAAATAAATTAACATTTCCATGCAGATGTAAAATGCTACAAATGAAAAGAATAAAGATAATTACATGCATAGCAATTCAAACTTTATTATTTATAAAACAAGCCCCCTAATCTTTTTTTTTTAGCTATAAAATTAGCATACTTACGTGTGTTCCGATCAAATCATCGAAATTTAATTAAAAAAATTAAAAATTTATGTAGAGATTTTATTATGAATCTTGATATTCGAGTGAGAATTTGGAAAACGAATAGAAAAAAATATTACATCAAGACTCTGCATGTAGAGTTATGTTCGAGTACAATGAAATTACACCGCTGAGTTGATCGGTCTGGTAACACAAGAGAATATTTCTCTCGTGTTATTCATGTATTATTGTGTGTTATTCAAGTGTTATTGTATTTTATTCAATTGTTATTGTGTTTTGGGAATATTCTCGATATTATAATAACAAAATAACACATTAATAATATATAAATAACACACAATAACACATGAATAACACGAGAGGAATATTCCTTGAGTTACCAAACCAATCACATCCACGGCGTAATTTCATTGGAATCCGCACGTAATGTAATATTTTTTCAAATTAAAGAGGGTGTTAGTTTTGTAGAAACTTTTTAGTGGTATGTAGCTGCCCCTAAAATTGAAGTGTTGGATATCCCAATACATAAAAGAGTGAGGTGGTAAGCATGTAAATCTTTCTAAAATAATAATTACAAAAAAGATGTACACATATTACCTAAAACAAACCTATGATTTCATTAATTTGCACAATCATTCGACCACTCATCAAATAATAAAGCGCCACAAAACCTATTTCAAAAGTCAGGCTTTGCCCAAAATTTTTGCAGTCCAAGTCATCCAATGTATTAGATCCCATAACAAAACATACTCATTTAATCTTGGCCAAATAAAAATCTTACATGCATACCACCCAAAACATTCCTATTCACAAATCTGGCACACTATTTATACATTTTCATGCATAGGCAAGGTGAAATATATGTAAAAACTGAAGTTTTAAGTTAAGATATTTAAATACATAGGAATTGACGGGAAAAATATTACATCAGGATTCCTAACATAGAGCTACGTGGCTTCAAGAAAACGCGCGTGTTTTTCAATGATCCGGCCCGGTAACACAGAAGAATATTCCTTCTAAGTTATTCCGCATTATTCAGGTATTATTGTGGTGGTATTAATGTGTTATTGTGTTATTATAACACAAGAAATACTCTCAGAACACAATAACACATGAATATCATCACAATAACACTTGAATAATGTGAAATAACACGGAAGGAATATATCCCAGCGCTAAAATAATTTTTTTTTTATTTTTCTATCACCTCCACGTGTCCGCATATCAATAGACTTTAAACGTAGCTCTACGTTAGGAGTCCTGATTTAATATTTTTCTGAGAATTTACGTGTTTGTAAATCGTGCAAAAAATGAAGTTTTAAGTGTTATAAATATGTAAATCTTCCAAAATTCAACACAACCACAAATAAATATGTACATTAGAGGGAATTTTAATAATTGCATGCCTTGACAATACTGAAAACCTAATCCCTCATGATCCTCACATCTAATGGAAAATACATAAATATAATAATAATAATAATAATAATATCAAGATATCATATAACAGAATAGATCAATAATTTTTTCCCTTGTAAAATACATTCTAAAGAACTTACAATTTGTGGGTTTCAGAGCCTCTAACATGCACAGCAGCAAAGGCAATTAATCTTTCATAACCACGTTATAATAGGCTCTCTGCTCCAGCTGGTGATCTGCAACTAAATCAAAGGCTGTTAAAATTAACAAGAGAATTTTCATAATAAAAAGGGACATCTACATACATACCACATAATTCTTATGTAATTACCTATATACTTCTATGTTTACATATATAGCACTCAAAAGAGACATTTACATACATACCACATAATTCTTATGTATTTACATGTATACTTATATGTTTACAGATATACTTCTTAAAAGTGAAATGCACATTTTCAAGTATGGGTTTACGATACTGAAGTGTTATACATGTAATTATGAAAGTTTAAGGTGTTCGATATGTATATACATAAGAAATGTGTAGTCTGTGTATAAATTTCTCAATAAAAATTTGAACGGAATGGAGTTTAAGATTGCACTAATCTTAATATGAATTCATATGAATTTTATCCAGCTTATTATAGCGCGATAACAATAAGGAAGATTTACATACATAGCACTTAATTCTTATACATTTACATATCTAACATCTAATCTTCAACGTTTACATATATGCTATCTTACGTATGCACGACAAGGTGTATTTCACTTTCGAGAAGTTAAGATAGTGGTGTTTTTTGTGATGTTAAAGCTTTGGATGGTATAAATGTAAAGAAAAAGAGAAGTTTAGGTGTTAGATATGTAAATACATAGCTTCGGGATTAATGTAAAGAGAAAGTGAAGTTTAGGTTTTAGATATGTAAATGCATAGCTTCGGTATTTTTTATGCAATGAGAAAGATTTGGATGGTATAAATGTAAAGAAAAAGTGAAGTTTAGGTGTTAGAGATGTAAATACATAGCTTTGGTATTAATGAGAATCGTTTTCGCTTCAATTTTTTCCCCTATCATGTTCAATAAATTGGTCAACATCTTACAAAACTAACATCAAAGCCGAATAATGACAAGTAAAAGAAAAAGTAAAGGGGCATTTACATAGAGCATAATTCTTGTGAATTTACTTTTACAATGTGAGGAAAACTTCATTTCTTATTCACTAATTGAAATCGTCACACACTTATAGACACTCCCCGTCTACATATTAGGAATATACCTATTATAAAAAATAACTGTAATTAAACCTATTCTATCTATGTTGCCAAATATACAAGCTTCCTATTTACTATTTTCCGTAATGCTCCCCCTCAAGCTAGAGCATAGATATTGATCATACCCAGTTTGCTATAAATATGAGTGACTCTTGCTCCATGAAGGGTCTTTTGTGAAAATGTCCCGTAGTTGTCCCCCGTCTTTACGTGAGCGGCCAACTTTTTTTTTTTTTAATTAAATTGATTTAGATTTATTTGAAAAATATGATATTTTCACAAACAAAAGGTCAATCTATCTCAATATATTTTGTTAGTTAATAAAAGACACGATTAGAAGTAATATGAATTGCAGCTTGGTTATCACACCACAACTTTGCTAGAGTAGTCATCATAAAACACATTTTGGTTGGGAATTATAAGATCCACATCAATTCACTCGAATGTTGTGCCAGTGCTCGATACTCAAATTCAACACTGGACCATTCTATGCGACCAAATTACTACCACTAAAGATGCAATATACAGTAATCGGTCTTCAACCAATCTTGGAACTTGCCCAATTTTGTATGAGAGAGATTCAATATTTCTACGTTGATGATTCTGATATAAATAACTTGTCTAGAAGCTCCCTTAAGATGACATGGTATTTCCTCAAAAGCTGGCCAATATTGAATTGTGAGGAAAAACATAAACTGAATTATAGTGCTAACTGAATACAAAATATCAAGATGAGTTACCGTGATGTAGTTCGATTATCCCACTAACTTCCTATACCGTTCAGATCATTAAAAAGCTCTCCATCATTGGCAAGTTTCTAGTTAGGAAGCATCGAAGTATTGCATGACTTAACTCCTAACTTCTCAGTTTCTACGGACAAATCCAACACATACTTTCATTAAGATAGAAAGATATCATTCTTGCTCCTTGACACCTCAATCCACAATAAGTACTTTTAAGGTACCCAAATATTTAGTGTTGAACTGATTTTGAGAAATGATTTCAATGATAAAATTCTTTGTTCATTGCTTCTGGTAATATTAATTTCATCAACATAAACAACCAATAGAATGATTCTTGAAGCAAATTACTTATAAAATATAGTGTGGTCGCTTTTACTTTTCTGCATCCAAAACACTTCTATTGCTTTGCTAAATTTTTCAAACCATGCTCGAGGGCTCTACTTTAATCCATATAGAGACTTTTGAAGACAATACTTTCCCAAACATCCCCTGAGCAACAAACCCACAAGGTAGCTCCATGTATATCTCTTTCCACAGATCACCATACAGAAAAAAATTATTCACATCCAGCTGATGACGGAGCCAATTATTCATTGCAGCCAAGGATAAGTAAGCAAACTGAAATTAACTTAGCTACCGTAGAGAACGTGCTCAAGAAGTTGATCCCATAAGTTTATGCATAGCCTTTAGCCTGCGAATCCATCAAAATGAAACTTAACAACAAAGACCCACTTATAGCCGAAAACCCTCTTTCCATAAGGTAGTTCAACTAGTTCCCACAGTTCATTTTTAGTTAAAACATTCATCCCATAAAACATTGCAGCCCTCCACCCAAAATGAGATAAGACTTGCTGAACAAATCTTGGAATCTCAAAAGAGTCAAGAGAGGCAACAAACGAGCATGCAGTGGAAGATAATTGATTATAGTTAATACAAGAGAAAATGGGATGGATGAATTGACATTTACCTCTTCAAAAATAATAGGAAAATCAAGATCACTGAGGAGAGGATCCACTGAAGAAGACGAAACTGATGCCAGAGTAGGATTAGAGGAGCGAGGTCTTCTCAAGTAAATATTAGTGACAAGTGGTTTGGGTTGAGGCATTGGAGATGGAGATGGAGATGGAGCAAGGTATGAACTTAAGATGTGATACGATAACAACTCATCAGAATCTGGTGAGGATTTAAATACTAATGAGTCACTAAAGAATGATGTTAATTCATGAAATGTATCGTTAGCAAAAATCATGTACCTATTTAAGAGACGAAAAAAATATTGAAACCCTTTCTCATACGAGAATAACCTTGAAAAACACACCATAATGATTTAGGATCAAGTTTAGACATTTGTGGGCGAGTATCACGAACAAAACAAGTTCGCCCAAATATGTGTGGTTCAATAATAAAAAGAGAGCTCGAAATAAAACTTCGTATGGGGTCTGGTTCTCTAAAATAGTAGAAGGCATCTAATAAATAAAGTATATACAACAGAAACTACATCAATCCAAAACTATTTAGGCGCATTTGTGTTCTTTGCTCTTAAGGAATACTCCCTAAATAGTCTCATAGTTTTAATCCCATAAAAAATTGATGTCATTTAACTTTTCATCTGTAATCTTAGCCATTTATGAAACAAAACCTGTCACAAGTTATTTTTGTCACCAACCATAATCGATTTAATTCAATATTGAAGGATGAACTAATAAATAACTCATGACCAAGTAGACGGCGGATTGTCAATAAGGTGACTCTTTTCAAGAATACTTCTTAAATAGTCTAACAGTTTTATTCAAAAAAAAAAATTGATGTCATTCGACTTCTCATCTATAATCTTAGTCATCGATGAAACAAAACCTGCACAGGATGTGTGTTCACCAACCATAATCGATGTCATTCAGTATTTAAGGACGAACTGACAAATAACTCGAAGACCAAATAAACAGCGGAACACAACAACCGAGAAAAAAAAACCTAAGTAAACATCGACGAAGCGAAAACACACAAATAACTTGAACAACAAGTAGACAACAGAACACAACAACAGAGGTAACAGACCTATACAGATGTTGACGAAACTAGAATGAGCTTGAGGTTGAAGACGAACGATGACGTCGCAGACCAATTGCTTCCAGAAAAAAAACGAAGCATAGAAGGCAGTTGTAGACAAAGCCGACGATGACGAAGAAGTTGCAAATGAAGTCGACGATGACAAATGCTCTAATACCATCACAAAAAGAGAAAGTTCTGATTAGTGCAAACGAGGCCGCGCAATGCACACAGAACTACGGCGAGTTAGGGTCAAACTTGCTTTGACGAACGATGGAGACAATTAAAGAAGCTTCGACGACCGATGCAATGAAGGTTGAAGACAAATGGCATACCGATCGATGCCAAAAAAGACGACTGATGTGATCAAGGCAGCACTTGCGTGCAAGAACGACGTCAAATCGAGTAGGTGTGCACATCTCTGATACCATGGGAGAAAAATTTCTTTTCTTTTTATTCACTAATTAAAATCATATGTTACATACTTATAAACACTCCCTTTCTACATATTAGGAATAAACCTAATATAGAGAAGATCTAAAATTAGGCTACTTAATATACAAACTTCCTATTTAGTACTTTCCATAACATACCAGCCAAATCTTTAACATCACATTATAAATACCAACTTCACTATTTTCTGAAAGTGAAATACACTTTTATTCATAGGTTTATGATACCAAGGCGTTATAAGTGTAAATATAGAACTATGGTTGCTAGATATGTAAATACGTAAAACTTGTGTGGTATGTATATAAATTTCCCAAAAGTAAATTATGGAACTGAGAAAGAAGCCTTACTCTACACTGTGCATAGCATAGTTCTGACCAAATATATTAGGAATTCCGCCCCACTTTCTTTCCATTCTTGCTTCCCAGTACCTGCCGACATACTTGTAGCAATCATCTTCTGCATCTTTCTTGAACCACCTGGGCTGCCACCCCTTTTCCTGCAACTTCCTTGCCTGTAAATGGGTGCAAAACCTACAAATCAATCTAATTTAAGAAAACTAGAATAATAGAATTTATGCTATAATTGGATAAATTACTTTCACAGTCCTAGAACTTGCACTTAATTTTTGCAACTGAGAATTATGAAAGATAATTGCCACCAATCATCCAATTACTTTTCTTGGCATTTACAAACATAGCACAAAATTCTTATGTATTTACATCTCACACCTAAACTTTCATATTTACACAAATAACACTCAAATCTTGAATACCACCTAAACTTTCATATTTATCACCTTTTAAAAATAAAATATACCTTTTTAGCAAAGGTTTGAAGTGCCAAAATGCTATGTATATAAAAATGAAAGTTTAGGTGGGAGATATGTAAATACATAAGAATTTTGTGCTAGGTATGTAAATTTCGCTTACTTTTATTGTGCTTAACCGTCAAGAATATGATCAATCAAAAAAGAAGAATTGTGAAAGCTCATCATATACTTGATAAAAAAACAATATAAAAATGACCATAGAAGATTTCCTTTTTCATCCAGGATAAAGAAAAATGCCACCAGAAAGAAAGTTGGGCCTTTCAAATTTGTGTACGGTTGGGACTGGGAATTGGATTCTATTAATGTAAACTGAATCCTAGAAAGATGCACTAGTTAAATTAAAAATTACATGTAAATTTACAAACCTGAATGTAATGTTGGGAAAGAAAGAAGGCATGCAATCAAAAAAACAAGATGCGCAAGAGTTTAAATATCATTAATGTTGTAGAAAATACTCATATCAGTTCTAACACAGAAAAACGCAAATTTAAGCAATAGAGTGCGAGGCAGTAACAAAATTTATGACTCATTTTTTAACATCACAAGATGAAAACAAAATGGATAAAATTAGCGATATGCAATAAAAGAAATTTACCTGTCTCTGTAGTTGCTCAAGTCTAAGCTTTTCTGCATTTGCCAACTCATATTCACCATTTTCTAAGTGTCTTTGATCAGGCCGAAGCCGTGAATCTGTTGGGGGTAGTTTCTCCAACATACCAGGTGTTAATTCATTCAATGATATGGCAAAGGGAGTAAGATTGTATCGGGTTTGGGTAATAGACTTGTCCCGCTCCCATAGAAGAACAGCCTCCGACATTGGGTCATAACCCTTCGGTTTAGTACTAGGATCACCAAGTACATAGTACATTGCATCATCCCACTTGCCCAACAACATCGCAACCTTGTTTCCTGTTTTATTATCTTGTATAAATCCATGCACCTAGAAGTTTAAACGGATTAAAAAAATTGTTCTAGAAAAATTAAAAAAGAAAGAATAGATAATCCACTACTTTCACAAAATAGAAGCAATTATTTTCAAACAGTCTTAGTTGACTACCAAGTAATAAATAGGAAATCGAACTATCTTAAGTAAAAAAGTGTTTACGTCGGGCCCATTTTAGTCCCAAAATCTATAGAAATGCTAAATGAGTCCTCATACATTTTAAATTGGGGATGAAATAGTCCTCCGTATAGATTATTTCAGCCCATATTAAAATAGTACACGAATTAAATTGGCACATTTATAGAATCTTGGATTAAAATGACTCAATGTAAAAAGTTTTGACTATTTTGGCACATCATTAATGTGGAGCGGGGCATATCTCACGCCTGTGCGGATGCGGCAACCTTGCACTTCCTGGACTGTTTCAGCCAGCCCCTACATGAACCGATTAAGCCAAATGGAATTGAGGGCCATAAGATCTTTTCTAGTCGTAGGATTGCCACTTAACTGAAGGGACTCCATCCTTAATTACCCTAGTATTATAAGTATGTGATTTTCTGTGTTTGTGATGAGTTTTTTCGTCTTGTTTTATATCGGGACAGCAGTCAATGTCTCCAAATTTTCCCTTCTAATCACGGGCAAGTGGTGCTTCGGTTGTATCTCATTCCAAAGTGGTGATTATCTTTTGTTTCCCTTTCCTCTGCAGCCTTCGCCCAGCCTCCAAACAACTCTCCTTGTTGTCTTCCTACAGAAGCACCCCTTGCAGCTTGTCGTCGGACATCTCGTATTGCCATCTTCCTGCAACCAAACCCCTCACACCTTGTCTTCCAGCCACCAGCCACCCAACATCCCTACCACAATCAGCCCTGCCTCCTACCGCACCTGCAGTCCAACCCCGCATTTTCTACCACCCACCTGCAACTTCCTGCCCCAACCTTACCTTTTTCACTAGCACCCAGCTGCAGACCCTATCATCACCCTGCCCTCCAAACCACCTAACTGACTACTGAACCCATTTGAATAGAACCCTAATTGAATTGTGTGTTGTGTCTATTATTATTTCCCATTCCTCGATTTTGTTGTAACTTCCTACTACTTTTTTCTATAATAATATTTATTTGCTTATCGTTGTTAGATTAAATCTGGTATCATTCACTCTTTTGTAATAATAACATGGATTAATAGGTGATTGTAATCCATACGAAAAGGCAACCAAAAGAAAAAAAACAATGTTAATATCATTGTCCAAATAGATTTCTAAACAAAATTAAACAACAATGAAAGTAGATGCCAAATTGGAAAGCTAAGTAGTGATAATGTTAACAATGAAATTAAGAGAAAAAACATGCAAGAACATCAACTTCCATTGAAAATATTTTTCTCTTAGCTGCTTATTTAGTTTGAGAGTATTTGGATTTTGGCTAATGAACATTACGAGGCCTGCATTCACACAGCATTACTTGGTTAATAAAAATCTCCGTAAATTTTATGGAAGAGTTTATCATCCCCATCTTGATTATCCACTATTTCGAAGAAAACATGACGATTGAAAAGGAAGAACTGCCATTGTTAACCCAAAAGCACAACAATAGAAATGAATATATGATTTGAACTTAAAAATATGTGATAGAAAATGCATCCACTAAAATGAGCAGCTAAAACTAACATTAAATAAAGATGAAAGAAGAGAGACAATTTGGGCAACATGAATAGAACATACTCAAAATGATTCGTGAATAATATGTTTAGCATCTCGGTAATGAATAAAGAATGATAACACATAAAGCAACCCCAAATACTTGGGCAAAGACTAATGATAATGACAAATGATTAGAAAAAGAATTCCATTTTGCAAAAAAAACACTTTATAATAGAAAATGTCAAAAATAACGGAAAAATTATAAGTGATTCTATTGAATGTTAAAAAGTTAAGAAAAAATGAATGGGTTTAGCACGGAGAACTATAGCCCCTACATGAACCGATTAAGCCAAATGGAATTGAGGGCCATAAGATCTTTTCTAGTCGTAGGATTGCCACTTAACTGAAGGGACTCCATCCTTAATTACCCTAGTATTATAAGTATGTGATTTTCTGTGTTTGTGATGAGTTTTTTCGTCTTGTTTTATATCGGGACAGCAGTCAATGTCTCCAAATTTTCCCTTCTAATCACGGGCAAGTGGTGCTTCGGTTGTATCTCATTCCAAAGTGGTGATTATCTTTTGTTTCCCTTTCCTCTGCAGCCTTCGCCCAGCCTCCAAACAACTCTCCTTGTTGTCTTCCTACAGAAGCACCCCTTGCAGCTTGTCGTCGGACATCTCGTATTGCCATCTTCCTGCAACCAAACCCCTCACACCTTGTCTTCCAGCCACCAGCCACCCAACATCCCTACCACAATCAGCCCTGCCTCCTACCGCACCTGCAGTCCAACCCCGCATTTTCTACCACCCACCTGCAACTTCCTGCCCCAACCTTACCTTTTTCACTAGCACCCAGCTGCAGACCCTATCATCACCCTGCCCTCCAAACCACCTAACTGACTACTGAACCCATTTGAATAGAACCCTAATTGAATTGTGTGTTGTGTCTATTATTATTTCCCATTCCTCGATTTTGTTGTAACTTCCTACTACTTTTTTCTATAATAATATTTATTTGCTTATCGTTGTTAGATTAAATCTGGTATCATTCACTCTTTTGTAATAATAACATGGATTAATAGGTGATTGTAATCCATACGAAAAGGCAACCAAAAGAAAAAAAACAATGTTAATATCATTGTCCAAATAGATTTCTAAACAAAATTAAACAACAATGAAAGTAGATGCCAAATTGGAAAGCTAAGTAGTGATAATGTTAACAATGAAATTAAGAGAAAAAACATGCAAGAACATCAACTTCCATTGAAAATATTTTTCTCTTAGCTGCTTATTTAGTTTGAGAGTATTTGGATTTTGGCTAATGAACATTACGAGGCCTGCATTCACACAGCATTACTTGGTTAATAAAAATCTCCGTAAATTTTATGGAAGAGTTTATCATCCCCATCTTGATTATCCACTATTTCGAAGAAAACATGACGATTGAAAAGGAAGAACTGCCATTGTTAACCCAAAAGCACAACAATAGAAATGAATATATGATTTGAACTTAAAAATATGTGATAGAAAATGCATCCACTAAAATGAGCAGCTAAAACTAACATTAAATAAAGATGAAAGAAGAGAGACAATTTGGGCAACATGAATAGAACATACTCAAAATGATTCGTGAATAATATGTTTAGCATCTCGGTAATGAATAAAGAATGATAACACATAAAGCAACCCCAAATACTTGGGGAAAGACTAATGATAATGACAAATGATTAGAAAAAGAATTCCATTTTGCAAAAAAAACACTTTATAATAGAAAATGTCAAAAATAACGGAAAAATTATAAGTGATTCTATTGAATGTTAAAAAGTTAAGAAAAAATGAATGGGTTTAGCACGGAGAAAACAATAGTTCTGGTAGTATATTATTTTAAAAAAACAATTAAAAGAAATAATTATCATAAGATAAGAAGGTGAAACTTAAAACATGAGAAACTAATAATCCTGCATAATCATCTGCAAAGGGAGGATAAATTAGACCTTCGAAGCTGAATAAAAATTAATGTAGGCAAGGTTGGCAAACTGTTGAAAATGTGCATTTACAGAATGAAAAAAATAAAAAAATACTGTAAATATTTGTAATAACACATGTAGCTAGAAGTTTAGAAAGTAATCTGTAAACCAAAGTAAGGTTATAGCTTTAATGATTTCTTTTGTAGGTGGGTACCATGGAAGAAGTGTAGAAAGGGCATTGAAATAAGTGGAAAGTTCAAGAAAATGGAGAAAAACTACAAAAAGAAATTAGGTTGTTATATACATACATACATACAAATAGAAATGTATACATACATACATACATATATATATAT